AAACAGTACTGTTGACAACAGGGTGGGGGCGCCCTTTGGATTCATGTAAACATCTCTCTCTCCCATCACTTCGAATGCAATAGAATCCCTTGGTTTGGTTAAAATAAAAATTTGAAGACATAATTCTGGAAGGAAGATTAAGAAATTTTTCCACTTTTTGTAACTCAGGAAGAGGGTCTTTGATTAAAGTATTTCCATCTACTATGTGAATCTGATCCAAGCTGAAATGCTTAAGCCACTTCTCCATATGGATATCATATAAACTTCTCTGAATAGCCTTGTATTTGGTATTAAGTGCTCCATTTTTTATAACAATTTCTTCAAAGGGCTGAACAGGCTTGTGGCTTTCTACTCTGTTGTAATATACTTGGGTATAATCAGATATAACTCTCTCAGTGGGGTCTCTTAGAATGAGCAGCAGTTTAATAGAGCTATTCATGTCATGAATTCTTTCTGGAGCCTGTGGAGAAGTAAAATAGCCTGGTGTTTTCTCAATAGTAATTTGATTTTCATAAGAAAATGGCATCAGACTCCTATACCAATCTATTCCTTTCACATAATTTTCATCCCAGTCAAAGAAGTGGACTTCTGTAGCTGCTACCACAATGTTAGGATGAATATCCAACATTTCTAGTAAAGCCCTGGTCCCTCCTTTACGAACTCCTATGATGATTGTCTGAGGTATTCGTCGGCTTGTCCCAGGAGGTCTCACTTGTGTTGAATAATGTTCGCTTTTATTGCTGAATAATCCTACTTGTGACTTCAGTGTCTCCAAAAGTGCCCCATTCTCAACAGGAGCACCCTGAGTATAAGTCAGCAAAAGGTAAGATGACACTAGTAGGAAGGCCATGTGGAGAAGGATAATTAGTTCAAAATGCTGTTATGCTTGACTGATGAAACAATGGGTAAATCCACTCTTGAGGAGTTGGTTGATGGAAGTGGGGGCAAACAAACAGTAAGTTTCTGAAGCATCTGCAAAATAAAAGACAAGTAATCAGTATTTCTGAACATGTACATCGATGTCCAGAGTCATCAAATAGACTTCTCCAACTGGTAATCACTATGTAGAAAACTTCTATGAAGCAGTTTACTTGCTCTGACTTTGTTTCAACAGATTAGAATGGTTCATTGATTTTTTTTCCCCTTTGCCTATGTTTGTCACCAAGGGTGGATGCTAAACCTGTGAGAATTTTTACAGCCTGAACGCAATGGACTGGGCTACAAAGAAAGCTGAAAGGTACCTAACTGTTTCTATATTCCTGGCCATCATTTCCTTGCTTTTACTTGTCTCAGTTTTCGTACTGCTCTTTGGGACATGTCGTTAACAATCGTTCTGAAGCATTTCTGAGTATCAGTACTCCTCTCTGGCTTCACAGCTAGGAAAATGATAATCAATCTAAGTAACAAGTGTCATTTTATGGATGCTTTTTATTTAGTCTTTTATGATCTATGGGCAGTGCAGAAAAGCTGTGTCTAGCAAGGTAGAAATAGTGAATTAAGGCACAATCTTGAATGCAAGCTCTTTCTGTCAGAAATCTGGGTTGATCAGCAGTGATATGAAAGAACTGTGATGTGTGCGCATGTGTGTCTCTGTAATTGGGAGTTTAATGCAAAGTTGGAACTTCAAGTGCATGAACAAAAAACCCCAGAAGACCTTCTGGGAGCCCTAAATTTTTTTGCTGGAGTAAGGGAAAGTTTGGTTACATCTGGGCTCTATTTAGCCTTAATCCAACCCTGAACAGAAGAAGAGCAGAAGGTGGTGGGGTTGGATAAAGAGAGGTCTTGGCAAGGAAAAAAAAATTTAAGAAACTGTGTGTGTTTATGTGTGCAAACACCTGTGCAAATATCATTATACATTTGCTAACATTTAAAAATGGCTTTTGCAGGTGATTCCTCTACATTGTGCGAAATTTAGCTGCAATAGAGCTGGTGTTACGGCATCATTAATAAAAGAATGATTAGAATCAATGCAACACTTGCATCAGAAAAATGGTGCTTGAACTGTAAGTATGGCATATTTAAAACCTGAAGTCCTTATTTAAACCAATTCTCATGGAAAGGACTCTGGAATGTTGTTCTATTCCTGGGCAGCTGTAAGATTTTACGTGGTAGCAAGCATGAGTAGTATATGCTATATTTTCCTTAATGTGAAATATATTTAACCCTAATACAGAGTGTGAAAGCAAGATAATTTGACACACTGTGCCTATAAATAGTGAAGTAATCTTAGACAATGAAGCACTAGTCAATTAAAAAACAAGAACTTTCTATTTTTGGATTCTATTTTAACTATCTCTGTCTCATTGTTATATCTGAATGGGGCCTCAGAGATGCAGCTAATATAGCTCCTTTTGCAGGTTCTAGTTTCAGTATCATGCTGTTCCCTTTTCTGAATATATTCGACATGTTATTTCAATAATTTCTTAGACAGTAACTCAAAGAAAGCATCCAGTTTCCATTTGTCATGGCTCTGAAGAGGATTCACAGTTTCCCTTTATTTTGTTCCTTTTAGCAACTGTTTAGCACAAGATACTGGCAGCTTGCAGATTTAAACATGTACTACAGCAATGTTGTCAAATATCTGGGAGGAGCCTAGCACTATACAAGTAAAGCAGTATATTCATAAATCAATATTCTAGGCATAATTATTAATGGTCTCATTCAACTATCTTTGATATCACTTGAAAAGACATCCATTCACTCCAGTGGGAATTTGATCTGGCCTTAAATTCACAGGAAACATTCACCAGCAAAACCACTGGACTGATGCTGAATCCTTCAGACTTTAATTTTACATATACCCAAAGCTGGTACTGTTTATAAACACTCTCCTTTTGTTTAAATCAATGCACTAAGACTACCCATATCAAAGCATTCCCCTGGTTCCCAGTGGATAACCCCATGGGCAGCTGCCAATTCAAAAGGAATGTAGTATATAAATATACACCTGTATTTATTACTAGATGAGCCCAAACTTCATCTGGCTTAGAAAGCAGTTACTGTATTTTAAACCAAATGCAAACTCATAATAAAAGTCCAAAGCAAAATCTCTCTCCAGTCACTCTCCAGTCACAGGATAACACTGTCATAATTCTCAGGGGGGGGGGTTTCTAGAACTACGTAAAGAAAAAGGTGAAATGTTCTTCCTCCTTCACACCTGCAGAAGAAACGTCATGCTTTATTACACAGCAGAAGGAGGAGGGAGGTGGTGATGTCTTCCTACAGAGGGTCTCCACAAATTCCAAGTACTCTGAACCTCAGCAGCAGACAGGGAACTTTAAAAGGGGAGGAGGGGCTACTAGTTTGGAGTGTGCAGCAGCTGTTATGGTCTCTTGCATCTGTATTCTCCTCTAGAGAAGGTCTATACTGGATATGTGCATCTGATATTGCACAGTTGAGCATTTCCCTGTTCACCTTCACTGTCACCACTCTCAACATAATTAATCTTGGTTACCTGAACACAAGGATTTCATCAATGAGTTCTAAGATGTTAGCATCCTTTGCCAGACAGTGGTACTGTAAAGAAATTAAGAGAGGACTAAATCCTCAGGAAGGAAGCAGAATAAAAAAAAAGAGAGTACAGAGGCATGAAAGAAAATTAGTTTTAAGGCATAACAACATATCATTTTTATCCCTTTTTGGCCTGTGCCTACTTATGTCTGAGTTACAAACTATCATCATTTTTACAGGTTTGTAACTATATTACACAATGTAAGTTAGTTACATCCACAAAGAACCCCCTCCCCATTACAAATTGATCTTTAAGTGTTAATATGTGGTGGCCAGAATCTGGAACCAATTTCCCAGCGTAGTGGTCCTCGCCCCTACCTTGGAGCAAATTCAAGAGGAGGTTGGATAATCACCTGTCTGGGGTCTTGTGAACCCAGCATTCATTCCTGCCTGTGGCAGGGGGTCAGGCTAGATGATCTGTCCAGGTCCCTCCTGACCCTAGCTACTATGAAACTATAATATCACATATGGTAACTGATTTCTAGTATAATGTTACTTCAGGGAAGCTAGTATGACCTAGTGTACACGCATAGGCCTGAAACTCAAAAGATCTTTGTCCTATCTTAACTCTGCCACTGCCATGGACCAGTGACTTTATGACATTTCAGTGCTTTATGCCTCAACTTTCCCAACATCAGTGTGGGCTAATGATTAGGGACCTACTTAACTTACAGTGAGACAAAGCTATTTTCACAGCTTTGTCCTACCACAGAGAGCCCATTTTTTGGGCATTTCTCAGCAGCCCTATCTCTTGGACCCTGCCCCCCCAGCAGTGATAGGTAGAGAGGCCCTGGGGAAGGGGGGGATGGCTACCATCTTGGCTGATAGCTGCCCCTCATCAAGGCCCACCCCTTGGAGCTGATTGGTATAGAGCCCTGGGTGGGAGGAGGTGGGAGGAGAAGCAGATGCCATTTTTTCTGCTGCCCCCTTTGTGCTGTCCCGACAGCTGACGCCTGCCCCCCCTCCCCCTCCTGGGCAGCCAGTGAGGCCTGCCTGGGAGGGGAGGACTTGATAAAGGCTTATTTTTATTAAGGGTTTTTTTGTTTTGTTTTGTGGTTTTGTTTTGGGGTTTTTTTTTTGCAGATTTCAAAGGTGAAACTGGATTTTGTGGGAAATCCCAGATTCATGGTTCCCATGATAGCTATGAAACCACAGTTTAGGTCAGTCACTACTAACAGTCCTTTTACATCCTTTGTATAGCCCTTTGAGATCTGGAAATGAAAAGTTATGCATAAGTGAACTACCAAAACCATGACCACCATCAGTACAAGATTTTGAAAAAAACTCCCCATTATAGCAACTAAATTATTTTAAAATATGTGTACCATCCACCTTTCCCCATCCACCTGCCAAAGGCTGAAGTCAATTACTTGAAACATACTGATGTTCCTCCCTATCGAAAAACTTTCTAAGAGGATGAAAGAATCATAAATGTTGTTTTTTTTCAGAAATTATGACAGTGGCAATTTTATATTTACTTATTTCCTATGAGTAGAATCATAGAAAATTAGTGCTGAAAGAGACCTCAGGAGGTCATCTAGGCCAACTCCCTACTCAAAACAGGACCGTTCCCAACTATATTGTTCCACCTAAGACTTTGTCTGGCTGAAATTTAAAAACCTGTGGAAGTTTTTGGCTGTGGAAGCAGGGGGTAGCTACCAAGGAGGAGTATACCTCCTTGGCTCACACTTGCAGGGAATCAGTTAGGAAGGTGAAAGCAGCTTTAGAACCCAGTCTAGCGACAAAAAATAAGGACAACAAAAAGTCTTTCAGGTATATAGGAAGCAAAAAGAAGGTGCAGGACAGCACAGAACCCCTACAGGATAGACAAGGGCAGTTGGTGACAGATAGGAGGGACAAAGCAGAGCACTTCAATGAGTTTTTCGACTCTGTATTCTTGAACTCGGATCTAGACAAATCTCCCAATTCAAGAGGGACATGGACAACCTTGAGAGGGTCCAGAGGAGGGCCACTCATATGATTAGAGGCCTGCAGGGAAGTCCTTATGAAGAAAGGCTGGGGGATCTGGACCTTTTCAGCGTCCATAAGAGAAGGCTGAGTGGGGGGATCTTGTGGCAGTATATAAATTCACTGAGGGGGTGGGTAGCAGGGAATAAGAGATGCTCTGTTTACCAGAGCACTCCTTGGAATAACCAGAAACAATTGCCACAAGCTGATAGAGAGTAGATTTAGGTTGGACATCAAACAGAACTTCACGGTTAGGGTTGCCAGAATCTGGAAGTGGCTTCCAAGGGATGTGGTGCTCTCTCCGACCTTGGGGGTCTTCAAGAGGCAACTGGACAAGCACCTGGCTAGGGTCACATGACCCCAGCACTTTTTCCTGCCACTGGCAGGGGGTCGGACTTGATGATCCTTTGAGGTCCTTTCCAAACCTAGCATCTATGAATCTATGCATCATCTATGAACCTCCAAGGATGGACATTCCAGAACCTCTCTGAGTAACCTGTTCTGGTGCTTTACTACCCACCCCATATGAAAGTTCTTCCTGGTATCTAACCTAAACTTCCCTTGCTGCAACTTGAGACCACTTCCTTGTTCTGTTATCTGCCACCATTGCAAACAGGCCAGCTCCATCTTTGGAACCCCCATTTAGTTAACTGAAGGTTGTTATTAAATCTCCCCTCAGTCTTCTCTTCTCCAGACTAAATAAGCCCAGTTCTCTCAGCCCCTCCTCCTAAATCATGTGCCCCAGCCTGCTAACCATTTCTGTTGCCCTCTGCTGGACTCTCTCCAATTTGTCCACATACCTTCTGTAGGATAGGGCCTAAAACTGGACACAGTATTTCAGGTGTGGCCTCACCCGTGCTGAATAGAGGGGAAGAATCACTTCCCTTGATCTACTGGCAATACTCCTAATATTGCAGCCCAGGATGCTGCTGGCCTTCTTCACAACAAGGGTGAACTGTTGGCTCATATTCAGCTTATTGTCCACAGTATCCCCCAGGTCATTTTCTGAAGAGCTTCTACTTAGCCATTCAGTCCCCAGCCTGTACCAATGTATGGGATTCGTTCCATCCTAAGTACAGGACTTTGCACTTGTCCTTATTGAACTTCATAAGATTTCTTTTGGTTCAGTTATCCAGTGTGTTAAGTCCCCAAATCCTAGCCCTACCCTCCAGTGTATCTAGTACTCCCCACAGCTTGGTATTATCTGCAAACTTGCTGAAGGCACACTCCATCCCATCTTCCAGATTGTTGATGAAGATACTAAAGAAAAATGGCCCCAGGACTGACCCCTCACACACTCCACTTGCTGCCAACTAGACATCAAGCCATTGAGTACTACCCTTTGAGTCTGGCAATCCAACCAGTTTTCTATCCACCTCCCAGTCCATTCATCCAACACATACATCCTTAGCTTGCTTGTGAGAATGTTGTGGGAGACTGTATCAAAAGGTTTGCTAAAGTCAAGGTATATCATGTGCACTGCTCTTCCCACATCCACAGAGCCAGTCTTTTCATCATAGAAGGCAATCAGGTTGGTCAGGCATGACTTGCCCTTGGTGAATCCATGCTGGCTGCTCCTAATCACCTTTTCCTCCAAGTGCTTAGAAATGGATTTCTTGAGGACCTGTTCCATTATTTTTCCAGGCACTGACGTGAGTCAACTGGTCTGAACTTCCCCAGATCCTCCTTCTTCCCTTTCTTAAAGATGGGCACCATATTTGTCCTTTTTTTATTCATCTTGGACCGCTCCCAAGCACTCTGAGTTTTCAAAGATGATGGCCAGCAGCTCTGCAATCCCATCAGCCATCTTTCTCAGCACCCTTGGGTGCATCCCATCTGGCCCAGTGGATTTGTACATGTCCAGCTTTGCTAAATATAAATACTATGTTTTATGAAGAGTTTGGCTCACAGTCCAGTTTTCCTGTGTTCTTACTTCCATCTGCCCTTTTTTTCATTTGAGACCCAAACATCCTGGGATATTTTTCTATAGTTTTTTCTTTCAACCTAATGAAAAAGGGTTCACTCATGTCAGCAAAAAATAAAGGAGAGTGCAGAGACTTATCAGTACCAGCCTATTAGTTTGCATAATCAGCCAACATGCAGTTAACTTATCTCTTTGAATAATTAATAGCATAAAAATAATACCTTTCTGATCTTTTTTACCAAAAACCTCATTAGGAGGTATTGGAATTGGAATCAACTCTGATTGATTCTGTTTCCAGGTAAACCACCTCAAGAAAGAAATTGGGTTATCCAAAAGACAAATTTACTTATGAAAAATTTTGCTTATTTTCTTTCAACATGGGAATCTTATATAATTCACTGTATATATAAAGTAGAGTTGCAAGGACATACCATGAGCAGGAAAATAAACAAATGCTTAGGCTGCTGATTCTGTAACTGGTTGTACATAAGGGATGCACACATGTATCCACTTGTAGAATTAGGACTTTTCAGAGAATGACAATAGAAGCTCGGCATCTCATTTTTGTAGTCTACTTTGAAGATCTCAGTCTACATTTTAAAAACTGCCTATTGTATTTTATTTGTTTATATTACCATAGTACCCAGAAACCCTGCTGAGATTAGAAACTCGTTATGTCAAGCATGGTCCAGATACCACATGAAGAGCTTACAGTCTAAATCAGCAACTCAGATAAAGGATGGGAAGGAAAAAAATGGGTACAGGGAGGTGGAAATTATCACTTAAGATGCCACAGGAAAGCTGGAAATTGAACCAAGAGCTGGACTGTCCTAGCCTGGCCAGGGGCTGGCCACCACTGCTCAATAACTAGTCAAAAAAGGATTCCTGTCCCTAACTATTGCAATCTGCAGATGAATTGCTGCTCAAGCTGTCCATTAACTATTGTGCCTATGCCCTGGGAGAATTGTTTTGTTTGGTCTTGTGGTTACTTTGATTTGGAGTAGGTTAAAATGTCATAGAGTTGCACCGTGGGGCACTTAACTGCATGTCTTTTGTTTATTTATCCTATTATTTACAACTTTTACAATCATTGGAGTTAACATATACAGGTGAAGTTCAACTGATGCAGCCACTTAGGGGACTAGGCCTGACAGAAGGATAGTAAACTGATAGTTTAGATGTTTCTCCATGCTTTAGGCCACAGATTCTGAGGTTCAGATGCATACAAAAATGTCAGCTCAAAGAATCCCTCATCTGTTATTTTGGGAAGGTTACATTTTCAATTTCAGCAGGTCAAGCTGGGACTATCAGTCTGTGGAAGGTGTGAGCTAAATGATAAAACAGGTAAGAGATTACTTGGTTCCGAACAAATGAAAAAAAATGTTCAGATAATGCCATGATGCCAAGGAGAGCCCCCTTTGTGTGTACTACTTGAAATTTGTCTATTTATGGAGAAAAGCCATTTCTTTGAAATGGAAATGAGCAGAATCTTAAAAAAGACAAATTTCCCAGTGTAAGTGAAAATACTATTGAAAATCTTTTTCATTCATTGAGCTGACTTTAAAAGAAAACATGGTGGAAAGCTCTTACGTAGGTTCACAAAATCCTAATTAAGCATGTGTAAGGGTAAATCACTACAGAAGGGAAAACAGTTGACTTTCAGACTTAACATTGCAGAAAGTTTCTGAGTAAACTGAAATCTGAGCCGGTTTAGTCTCATATGGACAGTTTTAAAACTAATTTTGAAAAACAGACATGCACATCTGCATCTTACTGTTGATGGTCATTCTTTTAAGTCTCAAGTGACACGTACAAATATGATAAAATTCAGGCCAATGTTCTTTGCATTGGAGCATTTTTTGTTTAAGTTGACTCAGTTTAGAGTTGTTATAGCTGTTTTGATACAGATTTTAGAGCAAACACAGGCATGAACTCTAGACTTAGTTCTGCTGCAATATACCAAACTGCCTGTACTTTCACCTTGACTGGAGAAAACTAAGTCGCTTAAAAACTTCAGAACAGTGAAACATGTTTTGCAGAAAAATGATCTCATCCTGATGTTTGCTCCCTGTAAGTTTGAAATAACTGTCTGGACTTCAAGTGCTTTACCTTGGATTTCTATCAGTGTAACAGAGCTCAGAGTGTGTCTCGAAGTCTTCCATTTTGGTAGAAAAGTATTAACAATTGGTCCTGTACATCTGTAGTAACATACCTATTTATAATATAAACATATAAGCCCTGTACTTCTGTCATTAACATGATCACAAATAGATCTTACAACATAGTACTGCATGCAGGTCCCTTTGAATTCTGTGATACGCTAGCTGCTCAATTTCCTGTTTGAGCCATTTATTTTTGTGACAACTTTTGTGATCAGGTGGTATTTCTGCGATTTGACTCTCCAACATTCAGTCTGTTTATTTTCAGATGAGACAGCCCCCCACAGTGAGAAATCCAAAAATCAGTGCACCCCCCCCTCTCTCCTACACCTTCAACACACTTGCAACATGGAAATAAATGTTGTAAGGGAATGTCTATACTGCTTTCAAGCATGCTGCTGAGAAGTACAGCCCTACTCACCCAATACTGCTCTGTATGTGCTCAAAAATAAGGCAGTGAAATACTGATCATTGCTAATCTTGGCCTTTGTTTCTGGTGAAGCAGCAGAATGTGACACCAGACAGGGGAGCCATATTCTAGGCTTGGAATATATAGAGGGGGAGTGGGTGGAGGAGTAGTGCTTCTTGGTGGTGCAGTCAAGAGCACTGAAGAAGCAGTATAAATCAATCCTAAATCCCTTGCAGATTTCTCTTATACTAGCAGAATCCCCAGGTGGTAAAT